TCTTCAGTCTATCTTGGCCTCTATAYATGCATGATTCTATAGAGTTAAACGATAAACTTTATTTTGGAACAGTACACAGCAAGAAAATTTCAACACAATTAGCTAGGGCCCAAGAGAGCATAAATATAGTGTTTAATCACGTATGACATGATGATTTCCAGATTGATTTATAAACTTTCATCATTTTTTCTGTTTCAGGATGCCAGACACTTCGCTTTAATGGGCGCCATCGCAGACAAGATAAAAATACAGGTAATCTGCAAGCCAATCAGCATCAATGGTGTTTGTTGATAGAACTAAATGCAATAGTTAATTGATAATCAAAATGTGCTTACTTTGTCATTAAAAAATTGAAGAATATCAAAAACATGTTTTGTTTCCAAACTCGCTGAACTTTACTCTTTTGAAAGTGATATCCGCTACACTCTTTCGCTCTTCAACTATTTCCAATAATAATTTAGTTTGGGTATAAATTACTAACTTTTCCCCAGTTTTAATCGCTTGTTCTTAATYTACCTTGTAACGAGGTAGCAATCTGATTAGCACTTTCAAAAAGGGCAGAAAACATTATTCAAAACACTCAAATAGTCCCAACCTGGTCCTATCAGTCTCCCCACCGGTGCTGTTCCGTAGGCATAGTAACCATAAYGTTCATCTGACTTATTTTTTCGTCCATAGTTACCACGGTCGCTAGTBTACAGTCTAAAGGAAGAAGTTCATCCTATCTTGGTAGAAACAGTGCAAGGTATACCAAAGTCTACTTAGCCTTAAGACGTGCCTTTAAGCTTTCAGTGTTGCTGCATGCATATGCCTTTTCTGAGTTCGATAAACAGGATGTATTGTGGTCAAGATTCGGTACAAACAACWCCATACAAGGCATGATGAACAAAATATATTGACCACAATACAACATATAAGTTAGGCTTACAAAACATGAGCCCGCGATAAATATTCAASCACTTATTTTAAGCTCTTCTAGTCTTCTTCTAATGGAGTTTATTCACTGATGCCAAGTATTTTAAAAAGCCTGTCAATGTTTTGCTCTAATCGTGGGCTTGGAATGGGTTTAAGGCAAACAGCGTGATGTCAATTGATAGAGAGATGCCRAAATAGTCGTAAGTGTTCTCCTGAGCCTGCGATTTTTTTTTTGTTAATCGCTCGCCATAGTTTCCCAGTTTCCAGGTCTCGACCGGTGTTCATTCGGTTTTCAAGATTTCGGAGCTTGAGGTGGTTTTAAAACAAATCGATTTTTGGTTYGTATATAAGCGAGAAGTGGGTTGTCTCTGATTGTTTCCTAAGGTTTACTAACATTTCAAGAGAGTTGATTAAAAAAATCGTTATTTGATCGTGACTTTGTACTAACTCCTACTAACTGAGTAGGATGCGGTCATTTCCGGATTTCAAGAATTTTGACCGTCCAAGATTTTGCACTTTATATGTTTCAAGAGGAGTTCAAGAGCCAGTGATAAACCTTTTCTCAAGTTTCATTTATTAGGTTTTCCTTTATGCATGTTTTTCTTTTTTTCCTTTTCTTTTTCATCAGTGAATTGCTTAAAACACCTCTCAGTGAAAACCATACAAATCTCGGTTCCCGGTCCAAATTAGCCGCTGTTGCCGAGCCTATACGTCCAAGTTCATTCGCTCTCACTTATGCTAGTTCTGATATTTTCGTAGGCTATAAAAGAGAAGTTGGGAAGAAACACAGACTGACCATCCAAGCACAACAGCGCCTGGAAGAACTCACAAAAGAACTCGAAAAACCACATTAACTTTCCAACGTATCAAATCATTGTAGATGTCTTTTGAATTTCATAAGTTTATATTATTTTAACATATATTAAAAAAATACTTTTTGATTGAATCTAATTTTGTTAAGGCTTTCTCTTCCTCAAATTTAAATCTATTTTTGATAGCACTCTATCCATATTTTATTATTTGTTTTTATCCTAATTTATGATAGCGGTGTAAATGGAATCTGTGGTGACCCGATAATTAAATTTTCAACCCAAAACATTTGACAAACAATGAAAATATTCTAGGAAAAAGGGAAAAAGCCGTTCAAAACTTCTTAAACTCAACTGAATCAGAAAAAGATACTTTTCTAGGCTTTCGAAAGAAAGTTTATTGGGGGTGGGGAAGGTGGGAGCATTTGAGCTTCACTCCCGCCAAAACGGTATAGACCGCTGGCTTTCTATTCACGAGTCTTCTCTCGACCTTTGGAATCGAAGTCTCGTCCTTATTTGGCATATCTGTCAAATATCTTGATATCCTGTGTTGTGATTGGTTGGTTTGGTGGCTGGTTCAAATCTTTTTAGGCTCRAAATGATTGCGCCAGTACAAAAATAATTTGCCATCATCTCTAAATAAATCTCTCTWGGACCTTGGTGTTTCCTTGCGTAAGAGCTTTCTTTGAAGCCACAGTGATCTCGTCAGTTGAAGATTTAGATATTCATTATTAAATACTACCTGTAAGTTGTTTGGGCGATGGCAGATATCGAGAACGAGAACGAGAACCCAGAGTCGCACGACTTTATAAACGTCGATAAACCCGAAGCAGACGTTGKAGCTGAAGAACCAAGTGAACCTCAAGTTAGTTCTACTACAGAAGACATGGATTCTACTAAACCTGAGGATGAAGAAACTTTTGAGAAGCAGGAGGAGAATAGTGCTCCAGAGGAACCGCCAAAAGTAGAACCTCCAGAGGAAAAGCCAGCAATTCCTGATTCATCTTCGCCTTCTACCAAAGGTAGCTCTCATGCACGACATGTACGAAACTCGATTGCACATGTTTTTACCGAGAAATATTGTCAAGATCTTATACACACATAACTTAGATAATGAAGAGAAGTTTTATTTTGTCGTATCTAGGAAGTGGAACTAATAAATGCATTGTAGTTTGAAGTTTACTTTCGCAGAATCAAAGTTTATGGGATGTAGCAATATAGTCCATGTGGAGTTGTGTAACAATAATGTACTTGGATTTGAGTCAGTTTAGAATTGTCCAAATAAATTTATTATTTCAAAATTATTTTATTAGAACTTACAAGCTTCCCAGCTCGATGGATGAAGGAAAACAACGTGGATCAGAGAGGTAAATACAGCGAGAAATGCAATATGAACGAATGGAACATGTGAAGAAAGAGTTTATTGTACGAAGTCCAAGATGGAGATTCTCATTTCGCTTTCCCAGAACGATGTCAAATTCTAAACATGATTTTTTCCTATATTTTAATTTTTTCATTCGAAAAATATCGATTAATTCCTGGATTTTTAAAGAAATCTTAAGAATATAGTGTCGTATTTTTGCCTACACCTATTTTGACCCACCCTATTTGGGTAATTTTGATGATCGAAGGAAAAAAACCATCCAAAACACGAGAAAAAAAGCTTCTATCGGTAAAACAAAAATCACTGTTATCAATTATTTCTTTTTGCATAATCCTGAGCTCCCATTTTTCGAATTTTTTTGGTTTTTAGAAGAGTGTTTTGAGGTTTTCTGGCGTATTTGCTTACATGACGACCAGCTCGTCGCATCCTCCGATTCGGGCGTGTTTGAAAGCCATTTTCTGTAGTTGATTGAAAACCCTTATTTTGACTTTAATAATTTATTTAAAACAATTCTCTTGCGATAATTTTCGGGTGTGGTTGCTAAAATTCAAAACAAAACACACCTTCCTGTCCAAGTTAAAATGTATTAAAAAATGTAAATGGGTGAAAGAAATATATATATATATGTATATATTTTTTGCAGTAGTGGGGTGGGCTAGCCTATCTTCCTAAATGGGTGTGAGATCTGCTGTGGAAGAACTCACACTGTTGACATATCTTTAYATTGATATCACCTGCCTAATGTTTACGTACAAGTCTTTTAGGATTAACTTGTATATTTTCAAGGGCATGCATGAGTTGTTATTTTCTGTATTTCATCATTCACCTCTGCATTCATTCCCATTTTTTCACATTTAAAGACATTGTGGATATTTCTCAATTTATGAGAGCAAATCTTGAAATTCTTGGATAATATGTTACTTAAGGGTTTTGCAGCTGCGGTTTCTAAGAATTAAGGCTATTTGGCAGTTTTATAGTTATGGTAACAGAAGATATCTTTTTTCACAATTTTGAAACTGTACAAGCCATCTCTGTGCCTTCATTGCTTACTGAACTTACACACTTTCATTTGAAAACATTAGTTAATCTTTTTCACAAATTTATGTTCAGTGAAATTGATTTTTTTATCAAAATTGATTTTACTGTGCTGTGGTTTCTTTTGTTATTCATATTATTCATTTGTATTCAAAATGAATTTAGATTTATTTAAAAGAGAACGGTATCATAAACATAAGACTTGCCTATTCTTGTGAAGACATTAATTGATATTTTTCCATTATATGTATTTTCCTTTTTATTTGTTATAAATTTTAAAGCAGTCATACCTTTTGAATTATAGAAATATTCCCATAGATGAAACCAAATTATTATATTCTTAAATTTTAGTACAGCCATTTTATTTGTATGTTATCTTTGAGAATTGAAAAGGAATATAAAGATGAAACTACCATGTTTTCCATTTAAAAAATCTTGATTTTTAATGCTTAAAAAATTATTTTAAAGGTTTAAATTATCACGACATTTTATTTGTAAATTTTGTTTTTGTTAAAGATTTCTAAAGGTTTCTGTAAGTTTAGATATCTGAATGACAAAGCAGTCATCTGGCTTCCCTCAACGAGTCAAAACCTTGACAACTAGATGCAATTTTTGATTGAAGCATCAAAGCAGACCATGTCAAAATTTTATCTAAAAAAAATGGAAATTGTACACAGAGTTTGATGAATACTGTCAGAACATATGCTTAATTCCACAAAAATTAGTTTCATTAAATTGATTTGATAAATACATTCATTATGAATACACTTTATGCTCTTTTATATGGTACCTTTTATAATATCAACAACTTCCAAGAAAGATTAAAGAAATCATAGGACTAAATCTATTATAGATTTTTAGCAAGTGTTTCATGACTTAGTTAATACAGGTTGATTTATTCAATTTTTTACATCTACAAAAATTTACAAAAATTGTAAACTTACTATCTTATAAATTATTATCAGAACTAAACAATATTGATAATATCAATTTTTATTCTTGTGAAATTAAATCAATTAATTTTCCTGGAACATATGCACAGAAATTACAGGTCTTRGAGACAGGGCAGAAAAAAGACAAGCCCTCTACTTTCACGATTTTTTTATTTAACTGAGTTTAATACTCCAAATTTTTAAATTTTCCATTTGTGTCACTGCTGCTCAAAACTTGTKACGAAATTTTTGTCGACTCATTAGACTTAATGACTTAGAATAACTTAGTATTCACAAATGTCAGTTTTTCTGCTGATCAAAATTTCACCTCTCCTAAAGTACACAGCTTCATATCTCAAATACGCTTTCAATAAATTTTGGTCGCATTTGATATTTTGCTATTTGGCTCCAAAAGAACATATTCACAGAATATTGAGCTTAAATATGTAAAGCTGTCCTTGTGGTGAAAGGCCAAAAACTGTTTTTCTGCCCTGTCGGTCTTGGATGACCATGTTGAATATCAGTGGTGAGCCACAGATGGATGAAGTGCTGTGGCTCTAGAAGTTGTATGTAGTATACATTAGGYGTTCAAAGTCATCTTTTCCATCTTTTCAGTTGCATTATTTCACTTTTTACTTTTCCTTTTTGATTGCCACAATTAAGTGTCATAGTTATTAAAGTTAAAGTTCAAAATGAGGTTGTACTCAAGAATAGTCATTAGAAAAATATTGTCTCTTTCTTTCATGTACCTCATAACATGAAATTTTTTCAACTCTTTAACTTTGCGATTTTTGTTAAATTGCTTTTTTTCCGCAAAATTATGAAATTAGATGTTGCAAAGTATGTGACCTCTATAATCACAAAATTAATGTGTCGTGAAAATTTCCTGTAATAAGTTATACAACTTGGCTAATAAGAAACATTTTCTAATTAGTTTTAAAAAATTCCATTTTTTGCTTTCTATTCCATCATTTCTCTTTCCGCTTTGATTTCTTTTGTTGTTGTGCAGTGGTTTTTGTATTTAGAAATGAGACAAATACTTTAGTTTTTAATAGTTTTTTTTTTCCTAATAGTTTTTACCTAATGTTTGTTTAGTTGAAAGTATTTTACATGTTGTTAAGCGACAAGATTCTATGTTTTTTTCTGGCAGTGATTGACCTTATTTACTGGCGAAATATCAAGAAATCAGCAGTGGTGCTTGCTCTCAAACTAACAGTACTCATATCCCTCACCATGTACTCACTCTTGAGTGTGATCACATTCTTCTCCATGGCTTTGCTAACAGTTGCTCTTCTTTATCGTGTTGGGATGACTGTCATGGGAGCAATTCAAAAGAGTGGCACAGAAAATCCCTTCAAGTAAGTAGTTTGTATCATTGTAATAACTATGATTATCTAGAGAACTAATGACCTTTCATCTAAGTTAATGTACTTATATTCACTGAAAACTCTATTTAAGGTATTTGGACTGTTTCAGGGTAAAAAAATTCTTCAATTTTTGGTCAATCCCTAACTGCTACTGTGATAGTTAAATACGTTTTTCATGGATTTAAGTCCATACTTCAGTGCAATGCGAAATAGAAAAGCCAAAAACTTTGTGTCAATGGAAGCCATTTTGATTGAAATATGAGGGAAATTGATACGACTTGACCTTTCTGGGTACGGAGTGTTGACAAACACGACTAGCGTAACTTTGGAGATCATGTGACACGAATCCCTTTTTTTTTTTTTGTAAAATTTCTTCCTTTAATGTAATGGAATAATTGTTGGTAATATTATATGAGCATTCAACTGATAGCAATATTATGTGATGTGAATAAATAAATAAATATGATTTGAAATAATAAATGATGAAGTTTTGGAAATCAGATCACAATTCCTAACTACCCACTTTTGAAAATTCAGGAATTGGTTGGAAAAGGATATTGAGATTTCCAAGGAAAAGGTAGGTTTTCAATTCCTAATTGCATCAATCAAAATACACCTTTAATGTTTGAACTTCATGGAAAAGCCCTGTATGGGAAGTGGTGGTTGTAAAGCTTAAGTTGTAAGTTTTTTTATATAGTATGTAAAATTTTAAACCAACCACTTACTAACACCTTACTGACCACTTACTAACACCTTATGAACCACTACTGACACCTCACCAACCACTAACTGACACCTGACCAACCACTTACTGACACCTGACCAACCCCTGACTGAAACCTCAACCACTTACCATAACACCTAACCAACCACTTACTGACACCTGTTAAAACGTTTTTACTCACTAAATACAAAATATCAATCCCATTTTGTGAGTTTGCAAGCATTATTTTTGTGTCCTGAACACAGGTTCATCGCATAAACAACTCATCTTTGTGGATCACAGGAATCAAACCAGTCACCATTCGACCCTGTGGATGGTGATGGATGGATAAATTTGTAGCCATGCCATAAATTTTAAAGATTTTATTTTACAATTTTTCTTTTTTCTCCAGGCATCAGACTTCACTGAACTCATTGTATCCCGTGTCAACTGTGGAACTAAAAGACTTAGAAGACTCTTTTTGGTTGAGGATATTGTGGATTCCATCAAGGTAACTTTCATAGGATAATATTAAATTCTAGGATTTCTGCTGACTTTTTCTGCCAAAATCTGTTGGAAAATTTTGTTAGAAATTCTGCGACTAGAATTTTCTTTCATCTCAATTAATCCCTGAGTCAAGTTTGAAAACCTAAATTTTAAAATAGGAGGATTTTTGCAATATAAAAAAAGGCATTTTTAGTGTTTTTTTACATTTTTTTCTTTCTGTCTCCCAGTTTGGTGTCATTCTGTGGGTGCTGTCATATGTTGGAGCATGGTTTAGTATGTTAACACTGATGATTGTTGGTAAGTGAGTAGTATAAATGGCTTTAAAATGCAACTTTTTTATTTTACGCCATCAAAAAACAAAAACAGAAAAGTCAAGTCAAATTAAACGGGAATTAAACATAGTCCAGAATCTTTTTTATGTAGGTGACCAAGTCTTTCATTTTAGCAAATTGCTGTTTGTATGACATAAASCAATGATGTACATGTCTTTGTTTCTCCAGCCACAGTTCTGTCATTCTCACTTCCAAGGGTTTATGAGGACCACCAGGTAAATGAATATTATTTCAACCATGACATCATTTCAGACCATTGTGTTATCCTCTAGAGTACCATTTCTTTGTTTAATAACATTTGCAAATGAAAAGACACATGAATATGGATATAACTCAAACAAAGAATCTTATTCTTGAGCAAATGATATTTATGGTCTGAAATGGGAAAACATTAGGCCCAATACTAAACAGTGTTCCCTGACATACTTCATGAACACTATGTCAGGAGCCAAATAAAGTTGAACTAAATTGATTAAAATTCAAGCTAATCCCAGTATATCCTGCCAGGCTTAATGGCCTTCCCCTTGTTTACCTGCTTCATTGTTTTCGTGAGTCTTATTTACAAAGAACCTTTACAAACCATGGACACATTAATGATATCATAATCCATTTTATTCTAAGGCAATCCTGAATCAGGGATTATAATCATCCTTTTTTGCTATAAAATTTAACTAATTTTGCTATAAACAAAAGGAGTAAGATTCAAATTATCAAAATAATATTCCAACCCCAAAAAAAGTTATATTGCTTTGTTAATCTTACTCATAATTTAAAATAGTTCTTAAATATTGACTTCTTTGTTTCATGAAAATGTGCCTCACGTCATGCGTCCTACCCTCAGTAATAAATTCAGTCTTATTTTTGTTTGGATAACAACAACAACTTTGTTTTTGGATGGCTTAATGGTTGGCAAAGTTAAACAGCCATCTACTCCTTCATTGTTATAAATGTGCTCCAAACAGTATGCATGCTGTTTTCTCCCAGGAAGGAAGGGGTATTGTTTTGAAACCTCAGAATCAGACATATGGGATTTGCTGATTAGCAGGACTTTTGCATTAATTCATCTCCCCTTTTACCAGACCATGGGGGAAATTCTGCCATATTAACCATTTTACTAAAAACTTTCATTTCTCGTAGGACAAAATTGATGAAGTCGTGAAGAAAGTACATACTCAATTGAAAGCAATCATTGAACAGTAAGTTTATTTCCTAATTTGATGTCCAAGTACAGTAATAGTAGTTAAAAAAAGATATACTGAATGAGATCACACAAGAGAAAATGAACTAAGAGAAGGAATCCCCGTGCCCCATCATGTGCACAGTTTGATGCTATTTTTAACTCATTACCATGCCCGCGCGGTAATCATGCTTCCCTTTAATGCCTCATTTGAGGCAAGATAAGCGCCATATTTCGCTACGTCCACGACAAAAACACAGGCTTTTTTTACTGCAAGACTGGAAGCCGCCTACCCTCAAGAAATCAACCAATCAGGTTCTTCGCTCAAAATATCTCCAAGCTRAAAATAGCATCAAACTRTGCACAYGATRKTTACAAGKCTATATAGRTAGGATTCCTTYTMTWAGTTCATATTCTCTTGGATCACAGTTATCAAAAAGATAATTGTTGAAGCTTATGGAAGAAGGTCAAATGTCAGACTTAAGCAAAGTAACTTTATTCGTTTTTATTTATTTATTTATTATTAAGTATATTTATTATTAAGTTTATTCTTTTTTATTTATTTATTAGTAAGTATATTTGTTATTAACTTTATTCATATTTATTTCATTATTATTAAGAAGTTGTTTTGAAAAACATTTTGAAAGAAAACTTAGGGCGCTTTCCATTATTCCATTAAATATATGATACATAAAGTACTCTCTTAGGAGCTTATTTTGCTGATGTAATCATTCTTATTTCTCAATTGACACGGTTTTCTTTGTTATTCACCAGGCTTTATTTTTGTTATAACCCTCATTATAAATGCGAGGTCAATATATAGTTAGTTATTAACCCGGTTAATAACTATATATAGACTTTGCATTTATAATGAGCAACATTTGATAGAAAACCTTCTCAATTGATAAATAAAATACTTAATTACCGAGAACGTCGGCAATAAGCCTATACATCCCGAGGGCCTGCGGCCCTCGGGATGTATATGGCTTATTGCCTCCGTTCTCGGTAATTAACTCTTACTTTTTTACTAGGGCCAAATCCAAGCTTCCAGAAAAGCTGCGACCCAAGGAGAAGACCACCTAAACTTTATTTGGCCACATATCAAGAACCCTCAAAACAATATCCAACATTGATGCTATTCAAAGTTTACAATCCGCCATTTTGTTTGATTCGGCGTGATCGATCCTTCAGAGGCGTTGCAGAAGACTTACTTTTGTTTTAGCAATTGGACAGCAAATTAATTCAAAGAACTATACAATCTAAGTAGTTTCGGTTAGATATTCTTTGGGTGGACCGAGTATTGAACTGTGTGGTACACCACAAATGCTCAAGAAGAAGCCTAGAGCATTTTAATCATTTGTGTTCAAGGTTGTGTATCAGTTATATCCTTGTCAGTAAAGTTAGTACGTGCTATGTGCAAGAAATCCTATTAGGTATTTCAGCACGCTTAGCGTAGCCCAACTCGTTTAAACCTGCAGCATAGTACGTCGGTCCAAAGGGTCATAAACTTACTTTTACTTAGCCTGCGTGGCGGCTCTCCTCCCCTATCCCCTAGAGCCGCCTCGCCACGCAGACTAGCTTTTACTGGGATTATATACAAACTTCTTAGTTTATTCGGTTTCTTTTTCTATTTGCTTTAAAATCTAGTATCTATTTTCGTTTTTTTTTTTTAATGCTAAAAACAAGTGCGTGATTAGAGCCGTAGTTCATACTTTTAAAAAAATTGCTAATAATCGCTAGTACCTAAATTAGAGTTCTGGAGAGTTGTACAGACAAAAATAAGGATTTCTTTGTCAAGTCGTTATTCTCATGATTGTATACATATATCTTTCCAATCCACAAGAAAGTACTATACCAAGCCGTTGCATGATCGGTATGAGCTGTCGCTCCAAGGACACAGCTTCTAACTACCGCTATTATGCTTCGTAGACGTTGAACTGTTTGGTTTCTGTGGTTCTGTGTTTGCTTAGTCGATGTATTTAAATACGCAAACGTAGTTAACGTGTTCAAACTCGTTTTGTGGTCATTTCACTTTTTTTTCCCCAGCATTACGAAAGGGGAGGCTTTTCATTTATGAGGACGTAGGTTGATATCTCCTCCAACTTTACACTCGTAACACTAAGAACTCTCGTTCTTCCGTGGTCTAAAAATAACAGCATGTAATCATGCAATGGCCGACCAGAATTGGAACTTCTCAGATCGAATTGACGACTCTTCAAACTCCAGTCGGTGGTCGGTGTATGCGGGCTTAGCTTTGAACCCAGGAGTTGCTTGTTTTGTTATTCTAATTTCTGCTTTTGTTTACCGACCTCAGAAGTGAGGCTAAGCCAACATACACTGGAGTTTTAAGAGTCGTCAATATTTGCCGGTCATTTTGACCAGTAACGTTAAGCCAAAAATGAGATGTTACGGAACTAAAATTAATTTTGCCTGTTATCTCCACCGGAGTCAGGACCAGTTATCATTTATTTTGCCTGCTCATAGCCCTTTTCAGTTCTCCCCAAACGACGCATTCACAAAAAAATGGTAATCCTCTTAAATGTCCAAATGAATGACAACCCTCCAAACCTAACTATTATCTTCGCATGTAATTTCCCCATTTCTAACCATGTGATGTTTACATGATGTTCTCTGGAAACATGTTCTTTCAAATTGTTTTCATATCTACATTAATACAAACGAATATATTGCAGAAAAATAAAGGAAGACTTCTCTAGAAAGCATCTGATCTTGTAAACATCCCATGGTTTGAAATGGGCAATTTACGTACGAAGGCATTACTTCTATAAATTAGGCATTGGCGTAAAATTATGCGCATCATTGGAATGGCTACTTGGTGCTTTGTCCGTTTCATTAGAAGGGTGTCTTGCCTTTTAAAAAACATTTTTAGATCCAACCAGTTTTTTTCTGTATTCGGAGATATGGCGAAAATTGTCACAATTGCTAGGCGTGGGCTATTCCAGGGATTGTCATTAGCTCGAAGTACCAACTTTAATATGAACGGTAMTTCATTTTCACGACAATTTATAAAATGTACTCTGCCAAAAAAGGCTCGAAAACAATTAACTTCAGGTCACTCAATTGTAACATAAGGAGAAGGGGTGGGTACTCAAAGAAAAGGATTAATATTCTGACTAATTAAGAGCTTTGAAGCCTGGTCGTGGCTCTCCATSGTACCCTTTTCCTGGCCTCAACAATCCGTTGATCTGTCCTCATCAATTCCACCGACCTCCATGCCAAACACGTGTATTGAAACAAAAGCATGATGCATGTCTTTTGCTAGTCGATGTCTGCCGGAAGTCCCTAGACATCTAGCAGGTTACCGTATTAAAGACGTGTTTGCAAGCCGAGCATTCTTTATTTAATGATGAGGCGTGTTTTATTAAAGAAAAACAAAAAAGGATGGAATATGCCCTTAGGCCAAAAAAATTGAAAAATTGCCCTTTAACCGGAGTAAATTGCGACCGGGAGCCAGTATCAAAATTCTTTTACTGAGAAAAACCGGGGGGAAACGCTAAAAAATTGTTTTTCTCGAAATTGAAGTTTTAAAAAACCTTCAATTCGAGGCACATAATACATTCTTCTTTCTTTTGCTTTTTCACGATTTCCTTAGGAGAAAATCATCATCTTGTTTTGTGTTATTTTTCCCCTATTTTATTTGAGCAAAAGTCATGAAAGTCATGAAAGGTATATATATACATATATATATATATGAAATTGTAGTTCATTTGTCTTTTTCTTTTCTTACTATATATATATATGTATATATTAAAGGAAAAATGAAACGGGAGTGAAGTTTTTGTCACTTGAGTAAGCAATAAAAGTGTTCGAAAAGAAAGCGATTTGAACGGGCCAATCACGAATAACCGAAAATTAATTTAGTTCATTATTATGCATAATAATGAGYATGATATGTGGCCAGAAAAACGCATGGAATTTCGAACAAATCGCCGTCCAAGAATTTGTYATAAATACGTCCAATCAGGAATTTCCATTTGCCATGTACTTGACATCGTACTATGTCAATAACAAACTGATACTCTTTAAGGTTCTATGAGTTTAAAAGGATGCTTGGTTCTCGTTTGTTTAAAGACAACATGTGGGTGTTTGTTTTCTCTTCGATTGCGTGTTCCTTTGGAAACTAGCCGAAAATAAACAGAGCGGATTTAGTGTGTTGTTACTACCCGTAAGGTTTCGATCAAACGTAAGGAGGGAAATTATCTGATAAAACAACTTGTAAGGATTCAAAAATGTGCACCAACGAAACCTTTCCACTTGCAAAAATAGATAAATTTTGCAATTCGAATAGCTCGAACTTCCGCTTTTAATCGGAAGTACGTCACGTTTTCGGCGCCGGCCAATATAGTGTTGTCACGTGATAGCGTCGCCCATGTTGTTGGATAACATTTCCCGTCAGTTTGTACAGTGCCGAGACTTGAGAGAAAGTTATCATTTTGGTGAATATTTCCAGCTATTTCTTCCCCAATTGTTCATGATTAGTGGCAGTCGAAATGACTGAGGATTTTCCTCGGAGGGGAATTACTTTTCAATGTGGCTTAGCCCGGGAAAGTTATGGATTTGAAGGCAAAGAATTGACAGCCTTGAAAGAACTTGCATGCTCTTTTCTCGATCAAAAGGTAAGGGATTTTTTTGCGGAAACGCTTTTTCTCTCGCCACGTGTGCTATTCCTAGTGTAGCGCTTTGCCAACTCCATCTTATCTCGATCCAGGGTTGAGAGTAAGTGCAGTTATTAGTAGATTTATTTAGCTGCAAGGTGGGAATTCATTCAGACTATGTGCTAGATGTCCTGTTCCATGTCTGTGTCATTCAATCGAAAACAATTCGAACCAAGTTAGTTTTTCCTCGGTTAACCGATATTACTTCCCAAGAATTAACTGTATTGCAAACTAGCGATTGTTTTAGTAGTCACTAAGATAAGCTACAGAACTCCACTAACGTTAAGTGTTAAATACGAAGGGTTTTTACTTAAGTTGTCAAAATATCGTACAACCAAACAACCTATTTACAATTTGTTTTGAAACAATATGTCGATCCGAGCTAAAACCCTCATATCTTAGTTCACATAATTAAACCAAGTGCAAGAGATAATCTACATATTTTATTATCTAAACCCTAATTCGAGCGATTATTTTCAGTTAAAGTGAACTTCGCTATTTCCCTCTTGAAATATTTTGCTAACTCATTTACGAGCAAGCGAGATGTCACGATATCTTGTTCGCCTTTTATACGACAAGAATTGAAGTGATTATGACTTCGAAAGAACATTGAAAGTTCTCGAAGAAATAAATACAACTGAAGTTGAAGGAATAGGCTTWCACCTGTATATGTAGCATGATTAATATTTTCTACTTGATGTTGCCGAAGACGCTAGCGAATTTCTTCGAGCATGCTTAATCTTATTACCACAGAAGTTTTTCATATCTCAATGAAGTGTTCTAGACGAAGCAGGAAGTTTTAGTGACTTCATTCGATGGCGAAAATCGAGTTTTTTATTCTTTTGTGCTCGTCAAATTCCACTCGGTCGCCAAATATGTTAATACGATGGATTCTTGGTGAAAGAATTGTAATAAATGTATTCAAACCATATCTTTCACCGTTATATCAACGCCATAAAATGTTATAAAACGCAATATCCTATTATTTATTGTGATTGCTTTATTTAAGTCAATAGCACATCTCTCTATCGACAAATTTACTTTTAAATTTTGACTGCTTTCAGTTATTGAACCACGAACGTGGCGATCASGGAATCATTTTTCTGCATTGAAATATTTTATGAATATATATTACTGTTGATCTGTAAATCATTTATTTGTGAATAACATTTTACAGAAGAAACACACGAAAGAGTTTCGTTCGTACCATTAAGCAATGTCTGTAATCTTTGAAGTTAATATGCATTACTGTAGTTTTTCCTTGTGCATTCATTCAGGCATTATTAATTCTGCTGAAGAAACATGAACCAACCTCACATAATTTTAAAATCATATTTCCTTAAAAATACAATATTTTGTTCAGTCTTATAATATCTGAACTGTTATCAGGCATATAGTATTACTTGTAAACAGGTATAACCCCTTATTTCTGGCTTTTAAGTATCTTATTCTGAGCTGAACCACTTTGAACTCAATGGTAACTTGACTTATTCCTATCAATAGTGATCAAAAACTCTAAAAACTATTGCATACGAGTACCATGGGGAAATCAGTGTACATATATACATACATATATACTATTTTATGATTATTGTGCTAACAATTTGTGCTTCATTGATGCCAATTTGAGTTGACTATGCCTATGGTTTAAAGCAAACTTTGGGTTATTAACAATATCACTGTGACACTTTTCTTTCTTGTTTAAATTTTATCTTATTCCAGAATTATGACTAAGATTCTCAATYGTTTCCCAAAAACATATCTTCTGCTTCAAAGCTTAGTGTCATGTAGAATACCTCAAATCTTTGAAAAGGAATCATGTCTCTGCATTGGTGTTAAGTTTTCTGAAGCATTTTATCATTTCTGTTTTTATTTAATGATGAATTATGGTTTAGGGGTAATATTGTATTATAGTAGCACACAAAAGGTTTGATAACACTTTACATTATGTAGGTCACATCATGATGTTCAAATATATTTGGGTAGCTTTTATTGTCTGTATTAATATAAGACACGTATCTCAAGTTGAACAGCCATTTTTCTTGATAAAATAGAAAGCTTCGTGCACCTGTTGTGCTAGACTTTACCTTATTAATTCTGACCTGTARAGATAAAATGTCAAGGGTTAGAAAGTGCCTAATCAAAGCCAAAACCCCATATTCTGCAAGCCAGAAATGATGATAGAAAAGTTTCCTTTATTTAGATATTGTTTCTTTGGTTTTTTTTATTTACAAATTTAATACACAGTTGTGGCCAACTTATATTAATCACCATTGAGCTGTTTAAACATAAGGCAGTTTCTCCAAAACAAATCATCTTGGCTTGTTTGACTTACTAATACAGCCCTGAGGCAACAGCTAAAGCACTACTGGGGGTAATCACAAATTYGAGCATCCTCAAGTAGCTCCATAACGCTCTTGTGCCATTGTAGCTATCACCATTAACCTTGACTTATGATTAGTTTCTGAAATCATTTCCATTTTTTTAAATATTTTTTAAATATGATTTTTTTTTGTAGTTTCCAGATCATGGATATGTTGGTGTCCTTGATAAGCTTCTCCTGTATCGACATAACTATTCATCAAGTAATATTCTTGAAAGAATAACCAATGTGGAACAGATGGTGGATGGTAGTGTCATTGAGATCGTATTGTCAGGTAATATACAATATTTCTATCAAGAGTTCTTATCAATCTTCTAATTTTCACCAAAGATTCTTTAAGAACAACAGTGAAAGGTGAAATATTTATTGAATTCCTAGATTTTAATCAAAATGTTTCCAAAAGTCTTGTGTAGAAAAATATTTTAATTTTACATGTGTGTTATTATTGTTTCGCCACAAAGAAGCCACAATTTAGACCTATGTCTGGCTTGAATGATTATAATAGCATTGCTCATGAGAGAAGAATTTMTGATCTACAGTTAAAGAGCAAATTTCAAAAGTCATTTTAAAACTTTTATTCTTGATAATAGGATGTTTAATTAATAACTATTTTTTACTGCATCACAGAAGCTCATAGTTTAAATTTGTAACTTATAAATGCTATTTCTAAGAAAGATTACTGATGACTTTATGAACAAAACATTTCATCCAATTTTTTATTATATAATAATAATGATAACTTGTTTATTCAAGCCTATAGAGGTTTTGCACCATCACATGCCCTGATGCTCATAGTACAGATTGGACTGCCTATGGTAAGATGGCAGAACAATWAAATCCCTCTGCTGTTAGGAATTGTATGCTTTCACATGTAAAAYGATTAAATTGTTCCTGCAATTCAACATGRCTGCCATCACATGCTGGAGCAAAACCTCTATTACAAGTAAATTGTCCAGTTTTAGTTGGTTTGTATTATTTTATGAACAATTAAWAACATTTTTTATTGTAGATACACCTGTAGTTTGTATTGAATTCAGTTCTGGTAAATTTACTTGTCAATCAACAGCCTATTTTCTAACTATGTTTACAAACTTGATGTCATTTTGCAGCAAAAGTACCTGAAGATGAGACTATTGCCAGATCTCACCAGTTCACAGTCCATTCCTATAAAGCCCCATCATTTTGTGATTTTTGTGGGCAAATGCTATATGGGCTTGTTAGACAGGGTCTCAAATGTGAAGGTAAGTACTTATACTATGAAGAAAAACACCATCTCTTACTTGTAATTTCTTGAGACATACTTCCACCCTACAAAAATTTCCAAGGTCTTAAGATAATGGCTGCTGACAGTCACAGGTCAGTGACTGGTCAATTAGTTCTAGCTTATTCATAYCTTGTTTCTTGCTCAGTGTTACTGGTCAAAATGATGGGCAAGGCAAAGATTTCAATTTTCGTTTGATATTTTGACACATTTTTTTTGCGCTGCTTTGCCTCATTTGGAAGTTAGTTATCCATGCATTAAGGGAAAGGACTTAAACAGTCATTGGTATTGTTCAAACTGCACATTCTTTACATAACAGTTGACATTTTGCTAACAGTAAATAAGGCTAAACCTGTACAATTGACCCTTTTCATGGTAGCATGACATTATAAGATATTTGATTTATCGGAAAAAGGAGTTTGCTATCAAATTTGTCACRTCGATAAATGGTAAAATGATAATGACTTTATTTTTGGATTCTTGATTTCATTATTYGATTCAAACACTCATTATTGAAAGTGAATCTTCTAAGCCTAGCATATACAAAAGCCAAGCRTATACATAGCTGAAATGGAAGAGCAACTTTTTGTGCAAGGAATATGTAATATTGATGACTTACCTTCTGTTTGTGCTATAAACAAGAGCCTATGAGCCAAGTTAACTGAACTGATTTTCAAGCTATTCTTTGTCTTTTGAATATTGAAGGTTAGTTTTCAAAAATGAATGTTAGCTTGAGGTGGTTCAATGACTGTAAACTGACAAAGATATTGATTTTTGAAACTAAGAATGTTTGCAAAGGAATGTATGCCATTAACGCATCTCAGCCTGGTTATCAGGCTAGACACCAGGGCTTTAAAATAATGCCAGATCAGTTGCCTGCCATGATCACAGGCCGAGATGGTCAAAATGACCAGTAAGGCAAAGATTTAAYGGGACAAATCCCAGTTCTGGCCGGACATTGTCCRATGTCCAGCCTTTATTTTAAGCCCTGGACACACAGTTTCTCTCAAAAATTATACAAAGAATCCTTGATTAAAATATTCATATCTTCACTAATTTAAGAGCAATCTATGAAATTTCGCATTTTTACTATTTTTTTATGTAACAAATTTGATAGTAATGTCCTTTTTCCGATTGAATCAAAATTATGTCACACTAGCGTGCAAAGGGTCAATTGAGTCTGTAGTCTAGGATCACAGCAGTATTAAGAAATGGGAAAAGGAAAATGATATGCATGTCACTCAAATAATAGACTTGTTCTCCAGATTGTTATTCATTACATGTAGATGGACGTCAAAACAAGGAAAATAATATGCATTTCACTCAAATAACAGACTTGTTCTCCAGATTGTTATTCATTACATGTAGATGGGTCACGTCAAAACAAGGAAAATAATATGCATTTCACTCAAATAACAGACTTGTTCTCCAGATCATTATTCATTACATGTAGATGGATGTCAAAACATCAAAAAGYATCACATTTGAAGTTGTACAGTTTGCAGAAATATGAAAAGGATGACAGCAATAGAATCTTTTTCTGTCTATTTGATTTGAAACTTTCTGTTATTGTTTACCAGGTTGTGGTGGGAACTACCATAAACGCTGTGCTTACAGAATACGAAATAACTGCTCAGATTCCAGGCATAGAAATTCAACTCAGTATGGCGCGTTACAAGTATCTCCAGCAATGGATTTGCATACGCCTAATTTACTGCAAGGTATGAATTCCTGGAATGAGGGACAAATTCCTGGCCGACGAGCAACATGGAGTGGAGATTCCTTGATTTGGGATAAACCAGGAAGGATCCAAGTACCACATACTTTTGCTGTGCATTCCTACAAAAAACCWACCATGTGCCAAATTTGTAAAAAATTGGTGAGTGCTTTGATTTAAGAGAATGATTTTGAGGATTTGGGGAAAGACGTCTGCCTCTATTAAATGCCCCATCTCTCACCAATGTCACTTGGGTTTGATTCCCAAGCTTGGTGTCGTGTGTGAGTAAAATGTGGTCCACTTCTTGTTGGTTCTCTCCTGTGCTTTGAGTGTATTTTTCTGGAGTCTACAGTTTTCTCCTTCCTTTAGTTAACTACCTGTACTAAATTCCAATTCAATCTGGCATCAAAAGCTTATGCAAGCCTCAGTTCTGGGGACTGAGTAATCACCACCTGCAATCAACATAAAATAAATGAAAATTGTTTCTATTCTAAGACTTGCAAACTCTCTTTACAGGACTGCCATTTGAAACATTTCTTATTTTCATCCAGTGACTTTCAGCAAGGAAAAAAACTTCAATTTATTTACTATCCTTTTATTACCCAGACTATATTCATTTCAGACTAATTCAGACTATATTCATTTTGTCAAACTCTCTTGTTACTGGACTACCTGTGCAKTTCCAGAAAATATCCATACTGCCACCACGGAAGAAATTTGTRAAAGGACCCCCCTACCCCCAGGAACTTCCAATTTTCTTCCATACCAATTCTGTAATTTTGCTCTTTCTCTGACCCTCCTCCCCTCCAGAATTTCCAATTCCCTCTGGGTGGGRTATGGATGTTTTCTGGAACTACACATTCGAAATGTTTCTTATTTTTCTCCAGTGACTTTCATCAAGGCAAAAAATTGCAATTTATTTACTATCCTTTTATTACCCAGATACCCTCTGCTCTTGGGTGCAATTTAAAGTAATTCAGACTATATTCATTTTGTCAATTAAACATTACCTTATAATGAGATACAAATAAATGTATCAGTTTCTAGATGCATACTCAGTTTTGTAACTTCTTTCCAATATATTCCGCCTTCAAAGTTTTTGTTTGATTGATTGAGTACTAACAATGTTGTTTATAACGACTTAATTGTTTCCCTGGGTCCTTGATTTTGGTATTTTTATTTGATTACTCAATCTCAATATGCGAAGTAAGAATTCTGTATGTAAGCTGTACCTTAAAAGTCTTAGATTATATCAGATATTGTTTCAATAAAAGTTGAGGATTTTTTTTCTTTACACAGTTAAGAGGTCTCTTCAGACAAGGTTTCCAGTGTAAAGGTTTGTAATGTTAAGCATATTAAGCAGGTCAATTAGGCTGTTCTAACTAGCTTCTTGCTAACTAGCGAACTAACTTCTATCTAGAATGTACAGTAATTTCGTACTTTATGAACAGCTGACATGGGTTTAATTGACTTCTGGCTGGCAGACAGTTATGAATCAGTCAATAGATGGTGAACATTCATTGGGGGATGGTTTGCAAAAGTGTCAATATACAATTTCTATTGAGATGTGCAAGCGCTGTCAAAAGTATYGGGTGCTTCAAAAAGGAGGCATTTTCCAACAAGATCTTATGTGGCTATAGAAGTTAATCAAGCAATACTTCGAAGCTTCTTTTAGTTCAGGAGCARGATTATGAATTTTTGAAAATRATATAGCTCACTTTAGACAAAAATTTAGTAGTGTCATTCTTACATAACACATTTTCTTCTTATAGGCAAAAGTATTAAAGTCATCATTAGTATCACTGATTGATTGATTGATTGATTGATTGATTTTTTTGGTAGATTGCAAATTCAACTGTCATAGGAAATGCGCAGAGAAAGCACCTAAGAACTGTTTGGGAGATATTCTGATGTTTGAAACAGGTAAGGTCATTGGTTAGTTACTATATACTTATATGGGAAATTAAAGCACATGCAATAAATCCATGAAATAAGAGCAAACTTGATACTGACAAATATTACTRTTTAGTTATTAATAGCTGTTATCACTCAAATAGAACAGTTCATAACACAAGGACACATACACAAGAGACTKTTGTGATTATCRCTTTAATTAAAGCTGCCTTTTATTAGTTCGTTATACTTATCCAAATAGGCATCTACTTTTAATTTTTTTTTCTTAAATCGCCCAGTTTTTAAGGAAGGATGAATAAAACTATGTACTCTTTCTCTTAAGACCCTGGTTTTCTTGGGTGGGAATCAGGGCTTAAAATAATGGCTGATCATTCACCAGTCAGGATCACAGTCCAAACTAGTTTTAGGTTAGTCATACCTTATTTCTGACCACGGGGGGGGGGGGGTACTGCCCTATATTCGCTATACGGGTACGTGCGGCCAAACAGGGTATGGTTTTCAGCGATTTTAATCTGGAACAAGGTATATAAAATCGTTCTCRCTCTGGAACAGGGTATTTATTTTCACACTACCGGAACAGGGTATGATTTTCAGTGATCTTGCTCTGGAATAGGGTATGAATTTCAGCAATTTTACTCTGGAAGGGTCAGGGTTCAGAGGGCTCAGCGTCACATCCCTACCCTAAACAGACAAGAGTACCCTCCCCCCCCCCAGGGATTTCTGACTAAACATTACTGGTCAAAATGACCAGCAAGGCAAAGATTTAAACAGACAAGTTACAGTTCTAGCTAGACATTGTCCGAGGGAATRAAAAGTGATTAGGYTGTGTTACAGTATTAATTTTTATCCCRTGATCTAAAATCATGTCTTTCACTGGGACTGTGTATAAATATAACCGAACCTAAGGGTCCAATTTTGCAAAGCATCCATTTTATGTACTGTAAATATTTAGAGTAACTGGCACAGCTTCAAACTGAAATGGTGTAGGTAAAGAGAGACATAATGATAGATTGAAAAAGGTAATGGAGGCAGTGTAGATGATATTTGTAATCCATTTACAGTATATTCTTAGTAGTGTTATGTCTCTGTGTCTGTATCAATTGCCAACAACTTATATCTTTGCAATTCAGGCTCATCATCTTCCTCATATGATTCTGGAACAATATCAGAAACCTTGTCTGAAATGGATCTCACRGATGATGTTCGGGAAGACCTGGTGAATGAGGAAAGAGAAGCTGCAGATGATGAAGCTCGCAATACCTACACCTTAGAAGAATGTACTGAACCTTCAAGCCCTACGTCAACAGATGGAGACGTCAACCCAACGAGCAGTACTTATATTCCATTACAAAGGATTGTGGTATCAGTCAAACATACRAAGAGGAAAGCATCAAAGGTCCTGAAACAAGGATGGATGGTCCATTTCACTAATAAAGACATGCAGGTGTGTGGTAATAGTACTGTCAGATTTATGGGCTTCTCCTATTTTCCTCTTTCCTCAAAACTCGACAAATTCTAATTCAATAACTGGTATTTTAAAGAAGGTAGGAACCAATTAACCATTAATGCAGGTGTGAAAAAAAATGTGCTTGAGTGTTTACTTCCACTTTGTTCTTGGTATTTGAAGGCCCACTACTCTAGGCTAGATATGCCAAAAACCAAGGGATAGAGCTTTTTAGCTCATGCATAATGTTTCCCAATTAACCATACGTCATTTCATAGAGTATCATTCCCTATAGTTTTATTTCTTTGTTTATTGGTTGTGMATGAGATGACTATGACTATGAATATGGACACAACTCAAACGTAGAATCCTATTCTCAAGAGAATAGCACATAGTCTGAAATGGGAAGGTCTATTGCAGTTCTCTCGTAACGGAAGTTCATTCCAGGTTTTCCCCTTCAGCTTTCCTTCATTTTTATCATTTATTACCGCCACCCGGTTAACTCAGTTGGTAAGAGTGCCGGTCTGTTGTGCGGGAGGTTGTGGTTTAAGCCTCGGCTGGACCAACACTCAGGGTTTAAAATAACTGAGGAAAAGGTGCTGCCTTTGTAATAATAATATCTGCAGATGGTTAGACCTTCAGGTCTTCTAAGATAAAGTAATTACGTGATTTATTAGTAGTTAACTTATCTGTTTGTTCCTTTTTATGATTTCAGAGGAGACGGCACTACTGGCGTTTGGATACAAAGTCTTTAACATTATTTTTAGGTCCTGAAAGTAATAAATACTACAAGGTGAGGGAAAAGTAAGAAAAGTAAGGTTAAAATGTATAGGTTAATGAGTGAAAAATGAATAATTGTGCAAAGGGATGAAACAGTGAATGAATGAAGGGTAAATGAACAAATGACAATTGAAAGACATATAAAAGTGGGCACTTAAATAAATGGAATGAAAAAAAGGTGTCAGTAATRTCATAATGATCATAATCATAATGTCACAATGATCGTTTTACCAAGTTTTTGAAGAATTTGAAAAATATGACCAATTTTCTTACTAGTCTCCTTTAAAAATTGAATTCTCCAAAGCTAATGAAGTTAATTCATTTTGATTTCCAGGAAATTCCACTCTCAGAAATTCTCTCAGTTGAATCAAACATTGACCCTCTAGCAACAGAAGCAACTCGAGCTCCTCACTGTTTTGAGATGAAAACTAGGAATATGATTTATTATGTGGGATTGGAGGAAGATGAACACATTGCGCCTGACCCTGATAGTGGTGTAGGAACGGGCCTGGGGCAAACCTGGGCGGATACTATACGTTCAGCCCTGATGCCAGGCTGTGTGACACCTACGACGAGTCTCTCAGCTATGAAATCTATGCCACGTAAGTAAGCGCTATGACCATGTAACACCTTTATCACCTCATTTATTATAAAGGAAGTAGAGTGAAGGAACTGAGTATTAAAGTGCTGCTCTGACGAAAATCAGGAGCGAAGTTCGATGTTAAGTCTATGACGTCACAGACTCCAAAAAATAATCGTAAAAATATCATACTTTCGTCCTGAATATCGAGAAAACACTTCATACAATGATTATTGGACCTTTCAAGAGTATTCTTAGGAAGTTTCAGCTGAATCCAAGTTTGAGCGATTGTCGTCAGAGTAGCACTTTWAGCTCTGGACTCGTGTTCAAAGTCAGGGTATGGCTAAGTCAAAGATTGAATATGAAATTAGCTATAGTTAGGTGGTGCGAAGGCAGCAAAACCCTTGAATCAAGGTATTCTACTCACATCGGATGTCAAGACTGTTGCGTCAAGTTTTCTTTTAGCATTGCACAATGAGCCAGACCAGGGGACATTTCTTTCCTAGTTTGATATTTCCTAGGTTAAGATCCTTTGTCGCAATCAACAACAGCTTTCATTCGAAAGCAAAGAACCTTACATACTGACTATATCAGAGTCATTGTATTATATTCCTACAAAGGTTATTAAAAGTGGATTGGAAATTTCCTCTTGAAAAACAATGCATTGCTCATTGTTATTTTTCCTTTATTTATTATGAAAAACGGGAACTTTTCTTCTTCCAGCTGAAAGCTCTATGGACACAGAAATGGAAACACCAAGTGAAGAGCCGGCCAAAGCAATTAAAGAAACACCACTTGTAAGTCCGTCCGTCCACTCGATTGTCTACCTTACCGTATGTCTGTTTGTCTCTTTGTTTCTGTCTTCACATCTTTTTTTCTATCTGTGTGTGGGTCTGTCTGTCTGATTGTCTGTCTGCTTTTTCATATTCTTTCTTTCTGTCTGCCCATCTTTTTTCTATCTGTCTGTGGGTCTGTCTTTCACCGTCTGTCTGTCTGTCTTCTTGTTCATCTTCCTGGTTTCTGTCTGCCAATCTTTTTTCTGTCTGTCTTTCTGTCTGTCTGTTTGTCTGTCTGCTTGTTCATCTTCTTTGTTTCTGTCTGCCCATCTTTTTTCTATCTGTTTGTTGGTCCCTCCGTCCGTCAGCCTGCCTGCATGTCTCCTTGTTTCTGTCTCTCCATCTATATTTTATCTGTTTGTTTGTCTGTGCGTCCGCCTGCCTCTTTACCTTGAGCCTTCACACATGGGGTTATGAAAGCTGCATGGTGTTTATGGTAACCATGATCAAACCCTAACAATATTTAATGCTTCTGATTTCAGGACATTACTCAACTGTATCAAGTCTTTCCAGATGAGATTTTAGGGTCTGGACAGTTTGGGATCGTTTATGGAGGTTAGTAMTTAGACTGAGTGGCTCTTCCTCTTCCTCTTATTATGAAGAAGTGGTTTACTAATTGCCTTACTATTTCATTTCTATTAGGCGTGCATCGTGAAAGTGGACGCGAAGTAGCTGTAAAGGTTATAGATAAACTACGTTTCCCTACCAAACAAGAAGCGCAGTTAAAGAATGAAGTTGCTATACTCAAGGTATTGGATTGGGAACTCTTYTAAAATCTCTCGCTCGTAATAGGCCTATTCGGCTTGGGCGTAATGTTTTGCCCATTTTAGACCACGTGTCATTCTCTTGAGAATAAGATTCTTTGTTTGAGTTGCTTCAATATTCATGTATATTCTCATGCGCAACCATTAAACAAAGAAATGATACTCTAGGGAATGACACGTGGTTTGAAATGCAATAACATTGCGCCCAAGCTGAAAAAGTGTATGTCCTCTCACGCATTTATTTCCCTCTACAGCAACTAAACCATCCTGGAATGGTGACCTTGGAACAGATGTTTGAAACTCCTGAACGGGTATTTATTACTATCACTGTTGTTGCGATTTTGTAATTAGGAAACACTTTAATATATCTTTTTCTTAAAAATAGTTTAAATGAAAATTAATTTATAAATGATAGGACTCGTGGTGTGTGAGATCAAACTAGGAAGCTAAARATAAGTTTGAATTATTTGAAAAAAATCATATGCTACAAAGAGCGCTCGCCTCTCTCCACGGCGCACCTGGTGAAAATACCGGGCTTGGTGACACACAGGAGTAGAGTTGTTGTTGGTTCTCTTCTTCTCTCTGCTTTGAGGGTTTTTCTCCGGGTTTTTCCTCCTCCGCAAAAAAAACCTTCCATATTCCAATTCTATCATGAACTACAGCATTTTTTTAAACGTTATTAAGAAACAATCGGTATCTCTTTGCTCTGAGTTTCTTGTTAAGTAATTTCGACTGTTTTAAATTAATTTACTGGTAAAATTTTGGAATCCGATTGGCTGAGATGTAATTTCATTTGAAGGTCCGCTGTAAATGTGTCTGTTGACTCACTCTTCTAAACTAAAAAGCCAGTATTTGCGGTTGACTTATTGATGCCAAGAATGCCATACTTAGATCTTGACACCCAGTAATGATCTGTTTAYCACGTGATAGGTATTCGTTGTCATGGAGAAGCTCCGAGGGGACATGTTGGAAATGATTCTCTCTAGTCCTAATGGCAAGCTGGATGAAAGATGTACTAGGTTCTTAATCACTCAGGTAATAATATAGGCTTGACTACTGATAGCGCTTTCCTTGCTGAATATAGCATGGTCAATATTTTATCGTTCTGACATGTTGTCAAGCTTTGGTCTTGTGGAACTTTGAGATACATTTACTGTTGATAGCCGTACGGACGTTGAGAAAAAGGGGTCGAGTTGGTAATGCAGTGCATTGTGGGAATGTCTTAAGGGACGTACTTCCAAGATGGCGCCTATTTCGTCCCCWTAACAATCCCATTGCAAATCCATTTGAGCCAATCAATCTCGGAATTGCAAAGCTATATCATACATGTCGCGTTACCCTCCAAAACAGTTTTCTTTAGTAAAATCTTTCCCTTTAAATCAAAGTGTTGAAGTATTTAATAACCTATTATTTACTTGTAGATCCTTATCGCCCTGAAGTATCTTCATTCAAAGAATATTGTTCACTGTGATCTCAAACCCGAGAATGTGTTACTTTCACCTGTCATATCTGAGTGTGGATACCCTGCTGTAAGTAAATAGTGCTGGCAATGAGGTCTAATATGAGTGGACAGTAGAACACAGTGTATATATACGGTATACAGTATATAAGCTCGACTCTGTATTAAGGACACCTATACTACGAACACTTTTTCTGTCCCTTCGGTGTACGTATCATAGAGCCTCACCGTAATGGTTTTAAACCCTCCACGRTCGCGTGGGTATTATTGCTACAATGCTGCCCTAGAGATTAGCTCTCAACGAAAATTATTCAAAAAAAGAGATGAGTGGCAGTACTCCAGTTTCGAGTTCTCTGTAATTCTGTGTATGTCTTTCAGGTCAAACTGTGTGACTTTGGTTTTGCCCGTATTATCGAAGAGAAGTCTTTCCGTCGATCTGTAGTAGGCACCCCTGCCTACTTAGCACCCGAAGTCTTACTCAACCAACCTTACAATAGATCGCTGGACATGTGGTCGGTGGGCGTGGTCGTTTATGTCAGGTAACGCCTTTGAATGATSACGTGACGGCAGATTAATGTAAGAGAATTACCACTTAATGACTGCAGGCTCAGAGTTGTTTTTTTTTCCAAGACTTTCTAATTACATTTTGCCAAAGAACCAGTTATTAAGTGTCTTATTATACCTCTCAAGTAAAACAAATATATTATCTTTCGCGTAATAAAAGAATTATGGATAAAGGTATTGTTTATTATAGCGTGGCAMGGAGTTGTCAAAAAAGTGAGGTGCGCATAACCCTTTCAATCAATCAATCAAATAGAAAACTGCAGTCACTCCTACGTGATATGTAAAATAGTAACCCCGAAGGAACGGGGCTGGAACCTCGGGAAGCAGAAGTAGGCCTCTCCCRAGAAAATACTTTAGCCGTAGGCGACTTTACGAGTAGCACTCAGTGAGCATGCAACTACAACTCGCTATGTATAGAGCCCCAAGGTAGAGAGGYTTCATGTCTGCCTTAAGAAACGAAAATGTTTATCTATTTGCTAATATAAATATCTATTGTACTTCCTGGATGTTATGAGTCCCTTGCCTAAGACTACTATTGTTAGAACAAATATTAGACCTACATATGGTAATCAAAATGAATGAATGACGAGAGGTGAAAGAGAAAGAACTCAGAAAAAGAGACGGATGGGATTTGAACCCACGACTTACTGGAAACTCTAATGGGTTAATAGCTCTTATGAACTGCAATCCAGCAGTTATCCCATCTGAAACTCTGGTTTTTTTTTCTAGTTCTTTCTCTTTCACCTCTCGTCATTCATTCATTTCACTACTATTGTTCTTGCTTGACCTTGGCTTCCTTACGAAGGTCAGGTCGATTGAAACTTTTCAAAAAACGGAATAGACCCTTTTCGAGTTCCAAATTACCGCTGTGTTTCTTGATTACAGACTCATTTACTCAGGCTTAGCCTCGATTTTGTGAAGAATATTCATGTGTTCCAGTCAAGGTCTGTCAAGTTTCAAAGTCTTCGTATTGTTGAAGTTGTACGTTCTTTACTTTACCATTGGTATTTGTGAATATTTAGACACTGATTCGAGACTAAGCCTGAGTAAATGAGTCTGTAATCAAGAAACACAGCGGTAATTTGGAATTCGAAAAGGGTCTATTGCTTTCAAGTAATGCATTCATATGTTTTCAGCTTAAGTGGAACATTCCCATTCAACGAAGAGGAAGATATTCAGGATCAGATTCATAACGCTGCTTTCATGTACCCCCCAGACCCATGGCAGGAAATATCACGTGATGGTAAGAATGATTCATTTAGTTATTCTTGACTTGAACAAAAACTTTTTCTCGTTTCCTGTTTTTGTATACTTGTCATCGCTATTCACCACTGCAAAGTACAGCAGTGGCGCAGATCCACGGGGGTCAACCGAAAGCATGTATGACCTATTATGACACCGGACGGAATACAGCTCTAATCAGATTGAATTAGTTAGGGTTGATTTGAGAGGAGGGAGGAAAAATCGGAGGACCGGAAAAACCCTCGGAGTCAGAGAGAGAACCTACCAACTCAGCTCACATTASGCGAATTCAAAACCCGTACCTCAGAGGTGAGAGGTGAGAGTTTTACCACCACGCCATCCAAACTCCTCGCGTCAAGCTTTTGCTCCTGTCCAGCAACGTCATGATCGCTTTTGTTAATTCACTTGAGCAGAATCTAGTTTCTTGGTTTCTTTTCTCATATCACCCATCGTAGTCTTTCGATCTTTTTCCTTCACATAAGGAAGTGATGCACGCCTCCTCTATCCCGCAGTAGCATATCGCACTCTCTCTCTCCCACCCCCACCCCCCTCCCCCCCCTCTCTGGTAACTAGCGCTTCCATCACATCGTAATTCTGCTTTTTTATTTTAGCGATCAACTTGATCAGTAATTTACTGCAAGTAAAACAGCGCAGCAGATACACMTGTGATAAATGTCTTATTCATCCTTGGCTACAGGTCAGTACACCCGGCGAAAATTACGTTACCACCATGCCTATAGATCTATATCGTTATACCGCCAACATGGCCGACATGTCTATAGATTTACATTTATTAAATTTAAGTCTATAAATTTATTACTGTGATGGTGATGGTAGTTGTCGTTGCGGCGACGGTGGTTGTGCCGGTGAAAGCGTGATGAGGATGATGATGATGATGATGTTGATGACTATTGATGATAGTAATGATGTTTTTAATATTGTTTTCATGARCACAGAACTATCAAACATGGCTTGATCTTCGTAGCCTGGAGCGAGTCATTGGTTTCCGTTACTTAACACATGAGAGCGACGATGCTCACTGGCATTCACACGGAGAACAGTTACGATCAGCCTCAAGACATCACCAGTATCGAGACCCTCAAGATGGCACCGGCAATGGCAGGCAAAGTAACAATCGATTCTTCCCGCCCACACAAGCAAGCGAACGTAAATTACAACCTAGTATAAGCTATTTGTAGAATAACGATGAATTAAGGATATAATGCAACACAGAAATAATTTCTCGTCAAACACTATGAACCACACTGTTACATAGATTAGAGGTTTTGCACCATCACGTGACGGCAGCCATGTGAGATGGCAGGAATAATACGTTTTACATGAAAAAGAATTCAATTCTCAAGAGCAAAGAGCATTTTATTGTTCTGCCATCTAACCACAGGGAGTCCACGCTGTATTATAGTCGTGGGCACGTGATGATGCAGAACCTCCATAGATGTGTCCATATTATTTTGAAAACCATCAGAGCTACCGCAACTAAAAAATTCCAAATGAATACCACGCATTTATCAGTATTTTCCATTGTCCTTGATATTCAAAATAACCTGGACCATCTCTCTATGCAACGACCTTTCATATCGAATACSTTTACAACTTCAACTTTCATTTTTTAAATTTCAGTTTTTTAAAATATTTCATTTGAGTTTTGAGAGTCATCCACCTTAAAACGTATTGGTACTGGGGCTGATTGATTTGTGTTGACGGGTTTGACGGCAACGATGTTGTACAGCAACAAAGCAATGTTTTTGGAGATTTTATCTCCCAAAGGAGAAAATCCCTGATTGTTATGTCACATAGCATGGCTACCGTGAAAATTGCTATACCGGTGCTTGCTTTCGATAGTATTAGTGTACGTGCTGTTATAGACCCTTTCGCAGTTCCGTGCGACATCTTGAAAGGTAGCCGTGCCTTTGATTGAAGCGAGACAAAAGGTGAGCGTGTAATGATGGAGACCTTTTTTAACACCTCACCGTTCGTCGCGCTTCGATGCAAAGGCACGACTGCCTTTCAAGATGGCGCAGGGAACTGTGAAGGGGACTATTTGAACACAAACCTTGATAAATTTGCTTTTGCATTCTGATTCTAACTTTCCATCCTCAGCTGTTATTTCATAGATATATTATTGTAATCTGGTTTGATCTCGTACTGAAGTTACACTACGACATTGGGCATTCTTTTTCTCGTAGTGCGATTCCGTGCTTCTCAATCGCACTAAAGCGTGCTTTCAACCCTTAAAACCACGGTAACAATTTGTTAAAGTTTTTATGAGTTATCTACCTCTGAAGCTTGTAAGAACAATATTGAAGGGTCTACGGAGCAAGGTGACCTACGAACCTCCATCTTGTGTTCAAGTCTTTATGTTCATAACTTTAAATTCCTTATAACTAAGCTATTTATTTTTATGCTTAAGATATTTATGTACACGGCATATTCATTCATTACGGCATCTTCCTTTTTAAMTTTATCCAAACATTTAGATTATCTAACCAAGGAACTCACAAATTGATTTTAACCCTCAATCGACCGGATGATGAATTTTAGAGTCCTTCCCTTCCTTTTGTTTTCTTATTCTCAAGACATTAAAATTCTCAGGAATCGAGAGTATTTTAGGTCACTGTAAGATACAAAGCATCAAAATACGAAGCAATTTGAATGTATTATTTAAAAAGGCTTGCACAAAAACATGACACGTAAAATTCAGCCTCAACKTTTTTTACTTCGGATCCTTTAATTCTCATCTCACTATAATACAAATAGCTCAAAATGAAACACTACTCCTGAAACTCGAATTATTGATATTTTCCGACTGCATATCGAAGATTCGCCGACAACCAGTCGACGATTACACGAACTCAGTCGCAATTGCCTCGCATTTATAGCGTCTTCTGCGTATACTAGTAATCATCGATATCCAGACATTTTTTAGACGAGCAGCTTGGGTATCACAGAAACTTCTAAGATAGTTTTCGAAACTAAGAATATGTCAATCGCTTTCCACTTTGTTCAGCAAGTGAGGTAAAACTTCACTAAAATAGGTATTTTTAAACGTAATTGATAAATGTATTAGTTAGAGCGATTCCACGTATCATGTGGRAAAAAATCTAATAGTCAATGCCTAATCGTCGCATGGAAAAATCGTCATGGCTTACTATTTCTAATGACAGCTAGAAGTACAGAATGGGTATATGGAATCCTTCTAATGTTTTATCGGATAAATTGTTTTGGTGTACTGTAAATAACTTAGTAATAGATTTTGAAAACGATGTTTCCTGTCTCACTCCAGACGGGAACAGATAAAGGAATGTCAAGAATGGATTAAATGTAATGTCTACCACTCGTTGTTTTTATCTTTAGTAAACTTTGAAGACGTTCTTAGTGTTCATTGGCCATTCTGAGGTTGAGTAAAAGACTGGGTCGAGTTGGCAGTGCATTTTGGGACTGTTATACGGTTCAAAATAGACGCCATCATTCCTAAAACAGTCYCACACTGCTTTGCAGACTCAACCCAGTCTTTTCCTTTATCCCTGGAACGGCTAATATGTATGTTAGCAAAATGTAGAAAAAACTCACCATTCTGAGCCGGTGTAATTGTTACGATAAGCAACACCCCAATTTTCAATTTAAGGATTTTGCCAAAGGTCACGTAATTTCATTGGTATCGATCATTAATTTGACAGGGACGTTACTAAAACAGGGAATGGGGAATGRCCGGGAATGGAAGAATGGGACGACCGATCAGCRGTATCACTATTTAAAAGTGTCATGTCCGTACTCTAGCTGTTTTTATGAGGACAAATATGCTAAAATCCATAGCAGTGGTTTCTAATCGTCATACAAATAATCGATAAA